ATTTCATTATTTTTAGAATAGAACGAAAATTGCCTGATTTTTTTCACATATGGGGGACTTTTTTTCAAAAGTATTGCATGATCTTCGGCCAAAATGAGTCAAATTAAGTTTTTATGCGATTAAAATTCCTTCAGAATGAGGAATATGATTACTTGAAGTAAGTGCAAAGTTATTCGATGACTTAGGTTATTGTGACTTTAAATGCAATTCGAATTTCATCTTTCGGTTGATGACTAGACTTCTGTACCACTCTTCAAACCCATCGAGGGAAACGGATTCTCAAAATATAATGCAAAACCTTTACAAAAAACCTGCAATGACATTTTAAACTTAATTTTCCAGCTTAAAAATAATTTTGATCACTTTTTTAACTTTTCAGACCACTGTGCGACGAGCACACGATTGAATTCATCGAGCAGCTCAAAAACAAATCCGACGTTGACAACGTTATTGAGCTCTATCACCAGCTCGTGTTGTCGTCCAGTAGCGGTAATTTGCGATCAGTAAATTAAGGGCTTATAGGCACCTTTAACTAATAAAATAAAATAAGTATTTCATAGTACTTGGCAACGCGAAGTCAGGTTAGCACACGAGCGTATGCGAGTGTGATGCGAACGCAGTGCTATAAATAACTATTTTTCTTTTAATTTTACTAGACTTTAAGATACGCGCTTGTATTTTAATGAACTTAAGTCTTTCAATCAATCAAGGATTGAGGGTTATGAATGACATCTTTTGAACCCTACAAGTGACAATGACCTTTAAAAATACTCGAAAAACTCAAGTCTCTTAATCTCTCTTCTTTGACAAGTCCATAGAAGTTGAAAAAAATTGTTGAGTTACTTATTTTATTTCATTAGTTAAATGTGATTATAAACCCTTCATATAGAGAGTACTTACTTTTTCCATCAAAAATAATGTAAAAAACGTAACAGAAGCGATGATGGGCGTGAAACTAGCGAATCTGGATCAGGATCTGGCCAAGCGCTACATTCAAGCCCTCGACGAAATGGGCCATCTGGTTATGCACCTGGTGGTCCGCCCGTACATACCCTACTGGATGGTGCCGTATCTGCCAATCGGACGTCGACTTAAAGTCAGCAGCGAGTCGTTACACGGTTTCTTCGACATGGTGGTGAACGAGCGCAGGCGCTACCTCGAGCGAGTCGGCTACGAGCACATAAAGACGGTGGCCGACGAATACGACGACGTGACGGACGGTTGGCCGAGCCAGGCTAGCGACCGACGTCGCCTGGCGCTGCTGGATCTGCTGCTGCAGCTCGAGTCCGAGGGCCGGATCGACGAGAAGGGTGTGCTGGACGAGCTCGAGGACATCATCTCGGCGGCCTACGACACCACCGGTTACGCACTGTCCTATCTCACGGTGCTGATGGGTGAGCATCCGGAGATACAGGAGCGGGCCAGGCGTGAGGTGCAGCTCATAATGGAGGAGTGTGGGGGAAATCTGACCTCGAACGAGCTTCAGAGGATGGAGTATCTCGACTGCTGCTGCAAGGAGTCCCTGAGAATATTTCCGACGGCCCCGGTAATCGGTAGGCGCCTCGTCGAGGACATCACGCTCGGTAAGTATCTTCGTTATCGTGTAGATAAAGAATAAAAATGTGGCAAAAGTCTGGCTCATGAACCTGAGCGAGATTTTTACAACATTTTTTCTAAAATCTATGCTTTTCTCATTCTAATATAATATAATGTGCACCATGTTAATGACTAAGGTAATTCCTATAAATTAAAAAAACATGAAAATTAAATATTAATATTGAAATCTTTTGTTTTTGGTATCTTCCTGGACAAACAACAAATACTGAACTGAAAAATTAATGAATTGACTTGTTTTCTAAGTCTTACTCGCGAGCACTGAACGATATAAACATCGGCTACTGCAACCGAGCAGAGGGCAAGCGAACAGCAATAATGCGTTCCTTATTAGTAGAGGTTCACGCGAGACCGAGATCAATGTACAGGTTAACAGGCACTTTGACTGTTGACACTCGCAAACAAAAAATTTCAATATTAAAATTGACTATTCATGTGTTTCAATTTACAGGATTTAAAATTTTCCTCTCAAGGTTTCAAGGTAATTTCAATAAATGTGAGAAAAATATCGCCCAGACTCATAAGCTTAAATTTTGCCTCACCTTTTTCCATACTTTAGCAGCATTTTTTTACGTGGGTAATAACGCAGGCACGCTGAAAAATAAAATACCATTTGACCACTAGAACATGGAATGTTGAAACCATGCTTTCGACTTATACAATTATTTTGACCTTGCTACTTGCAGATTTACAGATTTAAAAGCACTCACGATCTAGAGGTAGAAGTTTAAGGGGGGGGGGGGGGGAGGGNAGGGTCTTGTTCGATGGTTTTCGAGCTGCATTTTAATAATTTTTTTTGAGCACATAGTAAAATGAATTTATTTATAAATTATATACATTATAAATGGTTATTTGAAGAACATTCATTTAAATTTTCAGCTGAATATAGTGAAAAATGAGCTAACTACGGCAAATTTTCTCGCAAAACTTGAAAAAAAAGATCGATTGCAGTGGACACTGTAACTGAAAATCTACTTGACCGATTCTTTCCAAATTTTTCTCACTATTCATCTACATAAATTATGAGGTAATGACGTAGAGATATTTCGTTTAAAATGATTTTTGAGTTTTTGGCATCATTTTGAAGTGAAAAAAATGACTTTTTTGACAAAATGAAGGCAAAAATTCTTCGTACTTGTTCGTAAAAAGCATTTGAAAATGTAAAAAGTTAAAATATTTCGACACCATTACCTCATATATCATCTACTTTAATAGTGTATAAGTGGATCGGTCGAGTAGATTTTGAGTGATGGTGTCCACCGGATTTTTTTTACGTTGCGTGTGAAAATTTGCTGTAGCCAGCTTATTTTTCAGTATTTTGAGCTGAAAATTAACCTGAATATTCTTCAAATAATTATTAATTATGTGTATAATTTATAGATCAATTAGATTTACTATATGTTGAAAAAAAAAAATTTTTCTTTTTAAAATTTTGTCAAGACTCTACCCCCCCCCCCCCCTCTCTTAAAATGGTATTATTGACAAAAACAAAGAGTGTTTTTGAAAATATACGAATTTTCTCAGTAAGCCTCACCAAGAATAGTTCTAATTTTTTCAAGAATGATCGGAGTTGAGCCTTAGGATCCAATTGTATTTTACTTATTAGTGTGCTTGCATTATCAGAAAGATTCAGCAGACTTTTCTAAATTTAGTTAACTATCTTTTGCGCAGAAAGCGGCCACAAAGTGCCAGCGGGCACCGACATCGTAATCCTCTTCCAGACAATCCACATGGACCCAAAGTACTGGCCGGACCCGGCTAAATTCGATCCGGACAGATTTCTGCCGGAGAACATCAAGGATCAACATCCCTACGCGTACATGCCTTTCAGCTCGGGCGCTCGAAGCTGCCTTGGTAAGCGATCGTCATGATCGTGATGCAAAATAAGAGATACACATAATTCCAACTCGTTTATTACCGTATGTGCACAGGACGCAATTTCGCCAGCCTGAATTCGAAATCCGTCATGGCCAGGATATTAAACGACTTCAGAATTGAGGCCGTGACGAGATCGAAGGATCTCAGGTTTCATCTGAATGTCGCCCTCGAGCCGAATATTCCAATTGCCGCGAAATTCATCAAGATTGACAGAAAGTGATATACAAAACCCAGAGGTTGGAAAGAACGAGAGAAAAGCCTGGAATTTGATTCAAATTTTTTACGCTCACTGTACAAAAACCACGTACAATGCAGTCACATATACGTGGTTTTTAAAGCAACAATAAACAAAGACCATTTAATTTTATCGTTACATTTGAACGTGCAATGTTTTAATACTAATTTAGTTATTAAGCTACTCGTACAAAAAATTTTATGACAATTCAGTCAAATTTTAAACTCAGTCCTTACCGCTAGATGGCGAGTACCTTACTCTGTAAATGTGAAAGTGACAAAGTAAAAAAATTGTCTAAATAGAAACATGATTTAAAAATGCCTCGCCACATAATTTGCATTCAAACTGTCGCAGATATCTTTCTCGTGTCGAAAGATTCGTGCCCACATCCAAACACCCAACACATACACGGACACACATACATACCCCTATATATTCATTCACACATCGATATAGAGATGCGAAAGAAAACAACAACAGCTACAGCAGCAGCAGCAGCAGTAGCAGCACTGCATCATCGTCATTAAACGAGTGTATGTGTGTGTTTGTGTGCGGGTGTTGTGCAGTATAACCCGTCGCATAATTTCCCTCGTTTTCGTGTCCGCTGTCTTTTTTTCTCTTCTCTCTTTCTCTCTCGAAATTGCACAGTGTCACCGGCGTGCTCGCTCCCTTTTCTTCTTCTTTTTTTTTTTTTTTATATATACGCACAGAGGCACAAATACGTGCGTTAAAAGCACGCGAGAGGTATGCATTTATTTTTCACCTCTTTTTTTAAATACCTCTATAAACATAATGTCGAGCTCGCTGGTGGCGGCGGTGGTGGTGGTGGTTTTTACGAGTACTTTTTAATTTACACGCTAAGTTGGATATTATACGGCCTGGGCGTTTTGCGAGCTCCGCTATATATAGCATATTATAAAATGCGGATGGCGCCTGGCGTAGTAGCACGGAAAAGGGAGTTGGGAAAATGGCAAATTTTCGAAATCAAAGGCCGGGAGCTTTTTTCGTTGTAAACGTTTGAATTTATACTCATTGAGTGTGTTGCAAGCTTGATACACATATATTATCTCATCCGCTTTCATATACACACGCAGCAGCAGCAGCAGCAGCTCGGGAAACATTTTAATTACGAAGTTCACGGGAATTTTTAAATTTCTTTCGATTTGCGCGCAGTGACTCGTCAAAGGGTAAAAGAGAGTCTGCTTCGTTTGGCGTATACATACGTATATGCGGATGCATAAATGCCCTGCGACGACGACGACGCATTCAATTTTAATTCAATCGCTGCAAGCGCTGCACATTTTCTCCTTCCCACTGCCCAAAGACTTTAATTTACGTTTCACGTTTTGCTGCGGCGCGTGTTTGATATTTATATTGTGCAGCGTTGATATACGTAATGCGCAGAAATAAAAGCGAAACGCGATACGGTATCATACCGAAGAGTAGAGAGAGAAAGAGAGAGAGACATCGTTTTTGGCAATTTTGGAGAAGAACAAAATAAAAGGTATAGAATCATAATGTAGCCCCGATAGAAATTCTCAACGTCAATTATGTGCTAATGATCAAAAAATTACAATTTAAAATGTTTTTAAATTTACTACGCGTCAATTAGCTTGTTCAGTCAAATCTTTCCGTTTCAATTATGTTACAAATATGAAGGGAATTTTAAATGGTCTGAAATAACAATTTAATTATTTTAAAAACTTAAAGACTACTTTTCAATCACTTCAAATCATTGTCCCGACACAGACAGGTATCTTAATAAATTCGAAGGCTAAAAAGTAACGAAGTAACTATGTCCTATATTATAAGATAGGAAATTAGACCCTGCTTGCCTTCGAATTTATTAAGATACCTTTTTGCGCTGGGGCAATGAAATAAAATCATACCACTTGAAGCTTCCGCCACTAGATGGCAAGTACCTTCACCCGTAAATCTGCAAGTGGAAAAGTAAAAATATGTGTATAAATCAGACTACTATAGTGAATTAAGGCATGATATTTTATAAAGTGCATTAGTCCACAAAAATTTTTCGTCCGCCAAATTACCCATAAAATGTCGAGCTTTTCCACCGGAGAGCACACATAATCGTACTCGCAACCTTACAAATTCGCGCGATTGTACGCGAGCTCGAGCAATCATCCGTATACGCGCGTACAAAAAGCGAGAGAGAGAAAAAAAATTAATACGAATGATCGACGAATCCCCCGCCCGTAATACGTTATATTTCATTAAAAAAAATCCCTCAACGGTATACGTAGTCGTGTACACAATAGCTCTCGTATTAAATCATCATCAGCGGCAACAGCCACGGCACGTTTCGAATCAAAAAGAACGCGCGCGGGCGCGACAAAAGGGTGTATAATAGAGCGAGGAGCTGCTGCGACACACACACATATACACACACACAAAGGAGGGAAAAAAGTAGCAACTGTAGAGAGAGTAGGGGTGCGAAAGAGCAATAGCAGCAGCAGAAGCACAAATTAGCTCATGGCAAACATCGAGAGTGGTTGGCGGCGTCAGTGCGCCGCTCGCTCGCGCGCGATCCGATACACTTCCTCCACCTTCTCCATTTCTCCTCTGCAGCTCGCTTTTGTACTCTCTCTCTCTCTCTCTATCTATATGTTGTGTCTGTGTACACATATACACAGCAGCAGCAGCAACAACAACAATAACAACCACTACCGCGTGTATGTGTGTATAAGGGAATGAATCTCGGAGCACCGCCCAAGGCGCAGCGTCGACGACGACGACGACGACGTCGACGACTAACTTTGAAGAAAAGCCATGCAGTATAAGCATTGCACACAGGCACTCGCGTACACTCGTACATACCTATACTCAGGCACTCCAGACTGTGTGTGTATGTGTGTGTATCTGTCAGTGCTACCAGTATATATATACGCTTCCGTATACACCCCACCCCTCGAGGCTATAAAGGCTAATTGGTTAAAAGCTCGCTGGCGCATGGGCTTAAATCAAGATTCTCTCTCTCTCTCGGTGTGCTGCTGCTGCTGCGAGCTAGCTCTCACTCAGTGCTTGCAGCAGCAGCAGAGAGTATAAATGTGTCTGCGTGCGGCGCTATAATGGACAAACGCTGCACACAAACACACATTCACGCACACGCACACAAGTGTATGTAGATGTGTATAATAGTCGACAGTCGCTCCCACCCACCCAACACACAACACACACACACACACACACACACACACAGCTCTGACCTAGAGTCCCCTAGACCACCGCGACGAGAGTACCTAGCTCTGCTCCCTCATCCCCAGGCCGAGTGAGTGCAGCAGCTCGCGACGCCACTACGACTACGACGACGACTACGAGACGTGCACGTGTGTGTCTGTGTGTGTACCACGCTGCTAACTTCTCTCTCTCTCCTCTTAAGTATCGCCATTTAACCTAAACTCCGCGATGTTATACTCCACTCTATCTCTGCTGCGCTCGAGCGAGTGTATATTTCCCCACCAGCACCACCGGCGCCACTACTACTACTACCCCCTCGGGTGTGTGCAAGTACACACGGAGTAGTACTTTGTAGTGTGCATGTATAGCCCCTGGCCTCTCTCTGCTGCTGCGGTTTATTGGCCGAGTGTAAGGGGTGAGCTCGCCCCATCGATTTTCGCCGGGCGCCAATGGGCGCGTCTCGCAGTGCATACGGTACGCGGGGCCACGCCTACCCTCGGCGCGGCTCCATTCCTACCCCCCGCCCGAGCGACGAACGTCGTGTATTCGTATCGAAGCTGTGTGTCCGTGTGTCTGCTCCGCACATTGCCTTATAACTTATAGCAGCGAGCCAGCAGAGAAGCACCCCTTGCTGAATTGCTGCTGCTGCTGCTGCTGCTGCTCTCTCTCTGTCTCGGTTTTGCGCAGACGCGTTGCTCGCTGCCTACAACACTACTACCACTAATACTGGATCCATCCACCGCCGCATGTATGTATTCGTGTGTGTCTTTCTCTCTCGCTTTCATAGCATAACGCGCAGAGAGAGACTTTTACTGGCGCTACATACGACTACTACTACCGCCGACGACGACGGCGACTATTCGCGAAAAGCGAGCGAGTGCGAGAAACCAGCAGCAGCAGTCACTTGGCCCTTCGCGAAGCCTGCACTACTGCTGTCTGTTGGGCTGCGCGTGCTGCTACTGTTCCACTAGTCGCGCGTGGCGTGTTGTGTGCTTCTACTGCTGCCGCTTGAATCGACGCGATAAAAAAATATTTAACGAATTAACTAGAGGCAAAGTCGGAGGAGAAAAGAACGAGGATATCACTATCTCTAGCGTCTGAGTGTTTTTTTTTTCGTTGTTATTGTTATTGTTAAAAGTATAGTGCGGAATGTGCATCGATATACAAATTCAGTGTGCAATCGTTTGTTGTTCTTGTTTTTATTAGTTTATTTACGACTGCTTACCGCTGCTCTGCTCAACCATTGCCTTCGATAAAGAGTGTCGGGTCTCATTCTTTTTTTTTCATTTCAAATTTTTGAACAAAATTATGATCGAGTGCTCGTGAAAAAAAACATGTGCCGTGGACGCAAATGGATCTTCTAATGCAGTGTTGTTGTATTATTTTTTACGTCCATTCACACGCCACTCAAAGTCGTTGTAAAAAATCACCGATAAAACAGCGATAATGAGCGCGAAACCATCATCGATGTTGTTAGACACGCCGCTCATCGTAGCCCGACGGTGGCAAATTGTAAGTGCTACGCTCGAGCAGCAGCACTGCGTGTTCCAGAATCAACAACAAAAACAACTGACAAGTGTCATCGACGGCAATGCTTCGATGCGCCGATAAGCAGGAGATCGAAAAGGAAGAAGTGCGTGCGCGAGTGCAATTGATAAGGAGCTGAAAAGTAAACACAGAAATTGATCTTTCGTCTTCATCGAAATCGTATCTCTCGCTCATCCACGATCATCGACTTTCCTTTGCTTCGCCATTGTGAGGATAAAATTATATAGATAATAATAAAAACACCAAGCAAACCCTACTCGGCTCGGCCCGCCGCATCAGTGTCCGGATGTCCGGCGAAACGGAGATCGAGGTGTCCGTCGTGTCGGAACCGGAGGATCTCGAGCTGGAAAATTCGCGCAGCCGGAGTCCCAGGACACCGACCAGCAGCAGCGAACCACTACCCAACAGCAACAACAACAGCGGTATGTTGGTCCTGCATCAGCACCATCATCAGGATACGCACGCGGCCGGCGACAAGGCGGCGTCGACGAACAACAACAACAACGGCAGCTCCGGCCGAGACCGGGGCAAGTCGTCGCCCCCGCCGCCGTTGAGTCCGCCGCCGCAGCCTCGAGAGCTGCCGTTGAGCACGCAGCAGACGACTACCCACCCGTACAGCTTCGACGGCCTGATGATGACGGCCAAGGCGGCGCTGAGGCCCGCCTGCAATCCCCAGTACACGTCGTTCAGCATATCGAGCATACTGGGCCGCACCGAGTCGCCGCCGTCGGACTCGGGCTCGACGGGCGCCGGTGGCGGTCGCGCCTCGCCGCCCCTCCTCAATCTGCCCAACGGCCATCAGCCCCATCATCATCATCTGCATCATCATCATCATCATCACAACAACAACAGTCATCATCGCAACAGCAACAACAGTCATCATCATCATCACAGTAGTCAGCACAACAGCCATCACAATCATCATCGGCTGCGTAACGACGGCGGCAGCCCCACGAGGATACTGTCGCCGACGGCCCTCAGACTGGCCAGGACGGCCGACGGTCTGGTTCAGACCAGCAGCGCGAATAGCAATAATGGCAGCAGAGAGAACAACGGCCCCGGTGGCGGTGGAGCTTTCACGGCTACCGAGGCCGCAACGGCAGCGGCAGCGGCGGCCGCCGCCGGACTCATGGGCCATCAAGCCTCGGCGGATCTCATGCTCTCGAGGTATATAAAATGACGATGATATCTCGATCCCGATAATTACGCGCGCGATATAACGTTTCAATCGACAGAGAGCGAGAGTCAATAATATGCATAAATGTATAATAACATATTTAATGCAACTTTCGATGCAATATAATATCCTACCTAATAAAGGGATGCTGATTATTTGCTCCCGATGAATTATCAAATTTACGCTCGTTGTGTGTACGCGTACACGTATTTATAATCCACCACCAGCACCCCTTCCCCGATAAATGCGGATAATACATAATACGCGCTCGATGCGCATAGATTCGATTCCCGCCGCTATTCGATATCGTCCGCATGCTAAAAATCGCGCGCGCGTATGCATGTAAACGCTAATTGGGCTGCTTTCATTGCCTTGATATAGACATAGAGAAAAAAAAGGGAAGAAAGCGAAAAGATTTTATTCATACAAGAGAGAATCCCTTTTGCGGGTAACGGATATTCTCTCTTCATCGACGACGAGCGGGAAATAATTAAAGCTCCGTCCGAAATCAATTTCCAATCGCGTGGAGTTGAAAAAAAAATTAGAAAAAATAAATAAAAAAAAAAAAAAAAAAAAAAAAAAAAAGAAAGAAAAGGGAGAAGGGAGAGAAAGAGTCGAGCTTTACCCGCTTGTCGTCGTCGTCGTCGGTCGGTTGGTGTGCCTCGATGCGCATCGATGTTTTTTGTAGCTCTCGCAGCACAGAACTCATCATCCTCCGTATTAATAACCCTCTAAAGAGAGGTAGATCATACACACGTACACACGTATACACTGAGGTTCTTTTGAGGCTCTCTCTCTCTCTCTCTCGAGCTTCGAGTTCAATTTTCCATGAATAAAAAGGCAGTAGCGGCGGAGGTGAAAGTAGTACTAATCTCCGCAGAAGGCGCGTGTAGTTATACATACATACACACACACACAGGGTTGGGAGGTATTGATCGGGGGCGAGCTTTTGTCGATGCGCGCCAGCATCAGCAGCGGTAGCAGCTCTTCCATGTCCATTTTCGCGACTTTGTGAAACTTATGTATACATAGCTGCTGCTGCTCTGTGTATGCGTTATACTATAGTGCGCGGCGTGGTGCGCTTTTGACAGATCGCGCGAGCGCGCGGGAGGAAAACGTTTGAAAAGAGCCGCACTATACTCGCTGCCTATATTTTCTGTATACGCGCGCGTGAAAGCGATGCGGCAATTTCGCTCGGGCTACTTCTTCTCTATCCTTTTTTCCTCCTAGGGCTTTTATATGAATTTATTATTATTATTTATCATTCGTACGCGCATATATCCGTCGATTATATAGCTCGTGTACAATGAAGTTATTGAATCTTTGAGGCGTGTGCACGCACAAGAGCAATTACGATCGCGTAGATGTACATTTCCGTACAAAAAAAAGGGGTTGGCGCACACACTCATTTAATTTTAATCAACGTTGAGTAGAATCAAATGGATCGTTGATTAATAGCTCGGCTATGACACGCGTTTATAATAATAATAATAATAATAATGATACAATGATGATATCGCACGCGCGTGTGTCATTCGTGTGCCTTATAGAATTTTATATAGGCAGTGCAACAGTTGCAAAGGAGGTTCGCGAACAGATTTTTATCAATGTTAATACGGAAATTATACGGAGAGTGAGCCACGCGACGGTATAGTGCGCGCATTTTGCTCTGCGGATCGAGGCGCAGTCTATTATAATACGCGTGTAACCACCCCCCGTGCACGCGCTCGTGCGCGAGTCTATTTTGATTCCTATCTGCCTCTCAGCTCGTGGCTGGCAAATGCAAACAATGGCTTCCTTGCGCAGCTCACTTATGACGTTGTATAAGGAGATTTTATTCTCTCCCTCTCGTAGTGCTAGACTAGTTTTATTTCTTTATTTTCCGTATGTAGACAAATCGTCGCGACGATTTCGATCCGAGTCGATCGCCACCGCGAATATACATACATTGTATAAATAAAAACAACGACCCAGCAACATTGTATGTCGTAAATCCGCGCAGCAAACGTGCGCGATGCACTCGAACGAACTAATCCCGCGTGCACACACACACAATTCCATCGGTGGATCGCCGCCTTAACTCTCATTTAACCCACGTATCACTATATATGAATTAAAAAAAAGAAAAAAAGAAGTGTTCCACATAATACTCTACACACACACACGTATATATAACGAAAATTGAATTGGCGAAAAAAAAAAGAAGAAGAAAAAAACTTCAGGAGCTTCTCCCTATTAGATCGAATGTCGCGCGCTCGATTTTTGCAGCTCATTCTCTTTCATTGTCGTCGTAGTCGCAGACGTCGTTTTGTTTGAGTAATCGGACGACGTGATTAGCCTATACGGTATAATCTTACACACACACGCACACACGGAGACACACATATCACGGATTAATTTGTCCCTCGAATTTGTCTATATAGTATACGCGTTTTTGCGATCGTTAATGTCCCTATAATGCAATATGTACTCGTGCCGAGAGTGAAAGAGAGAGTAATATAATTAGAGAAAACCCGCCACTGCACCGAGATTATAACGTGTGTGTGTGTGTGTGTGTGTGTGTGTGTGTGTGTGTGTGTGTCCACTCCGCGCGCCGGCCCATTGGCTTTTAACATCAAACCACTGCCACTGCTTTTCTTTCGACGCAGGGGCACACTCGACACATGCTATCGCTATATACTATACGAATAAAGAGAGAGAGAGAGAGAGAGATGAGAGCTAATAAAATCCCAGTGCGTGGGTGGTGGTGCTGGTGGTTGGGATTGCGCAGCCGAGGCTCACCCTAAAAGATCGCATTATAGAGCGCTGGACCAGTAGCAGGTCTGGGTAATGGCTCTATTAGGCTGTCTCATTTAATAACATGGCTCTCTCTCTTCTTCTTCTACTTCTGCTTCCTCGTGGGGGCGCTAAAGCTTCGCTCGCCGCCTTCGAGCTCTTACTATAATACTGGTGTGGGTGCACTGCACCGGCAGAGTCATCCCCCCCTTGTGTCCGGCTCTGTGTAATAGCGCGAGATAGATATACGCCGATACACGTAGTCATAGTAGAGAGACAGACAGAGATTGCAGTTCTCTCTCTCTTTCGGAGTCGCGTCTGCAAAAAGGATTGAAGATTCAAGGGTGTGTGTGCGCTAAGCTTTGATTTTAAAATGATTGCAATTTGACGTGTGCGTTGTATAGTCGAGTATGATACACGCGTCGTTGAATCTTCTTCTACTGCTGCCGTTGCTGCTGCTGCTTTTTTTTTGCACGCGCGCGCCTCTGCGATAACTGGCGTCCATTAGCGCGGAGAGTTTAAATTAAAAAAAGGGATTTTACGGAAATAGTATACAGTGCACATGAAGTACCCTGTTTTATTTAACTATGTGTGTGCGGGAAGATTTTATCGGAATATATCGCGTGCGATGTGATTATTCGGTGGGGGGCGTACGTGCGGCGCGCCCTACAATAATTACGCGCGACAAGTACTCGACTAACTGTTTTCTCTTACTACTGTTGATTATGTTATATAAGATATAATTGCGTGCGAACGTGTACCCCCCCGCGTGACGTATGGTATTGTATAGCCGATCGTCATTAGGTCAGAAAATTTCGGCGATAATTGAGATTACGATCCGATGTCTCTCTTCGACGCTAGAGGGAAAGGGGGTTAGAAGGAGAAAAAGGAAGAGATCGTCGTTCGTATGTATGTTGTTTTTATTCAGCTATCGGATATTTTTTATTTATTTATTTAAAAAATACTGCACTGCGACTCGACTCGAGTAGATATACTGTCTATTACTCTCGGACATATTCTGAAACTGAAAACACTCGAAATGGATCGTTGTCTTGAAAGTTTTTTTGCCGTAGCTTCGCTACGCGAAAAGTGACACTGCGCTCGTGCATTGTGTATATAAAATATCGATTAAAAAGAAAAGAAAAATCGTTGTATGGATTACTTCGCAGCTCAAAAATAATATTCTTCGATAAAAACAACGATGCTATTTATATACCCAAAAGAAATCCTCGATGGAAATGCTTGACATCAATAATGTTCTCGTTAACAAAAAGTTGACTCGTTCCCGACGATTGTCACGTTAGAAACTTTAAACGCATTTCAAATAACCTTAAGATAACGATTCTCAAAAATTTGATCTGTTTTTCGATCGCTGGCTTTCTTTTAGTTACCTGTAGAAACCACTAGGTGGCGCGTACCCATTATCTGTAAATCTGCAAGCGGTAAAGTGAATATATTCGTATAAGTCAGAGCGTGGTTATATATATTAATAATACACATATCTGGGTATCTTAACCGGTGAAAATGTTTGTTCGATTTCCACCCGAAGCCTAATAAATACAAGACGTTGGGCCTGCAAATCTCGCGCGATGCCGCTCCGCTCGAGCGAGCGATCGAAGGAGATACAGCTAGCGGATAAAGAGAGAAGTGAATCAATTAGACGAGGCAGCTACGCGTGCATAATAGATCGGACTCTTCGACGACGTCTCGCGAGAATATATAGCGTACTACGCGCATAGATATAGATATTATTATACATTATGTATTCGCGCGTGAATATAATATCTACGCGTTTGTCTCGTAAGACGAAAACTACCCCCCAGCCGCAGCAGCAAAGGCGCATCAGCGCAGAGAAGGCAACTGCTCTTCCTATTATTATACATCATTCACGAAGGTACCGTGAAGAGATAAGTACACCGCCTGCGCTGTATATACTGCACCCTTAGACATCCAACATGCAGCCCTATGGTTATTCATTATTGCGCGATCTTTATTTTTTCTACGCCTCGAATTTTACATAAATTTTTTTCCTCCTCTAAACTACGCGTGTACTCGGAAAAGCATTTACCCACACGACGAAGTAGTAGTCACGCGCGCCAAGCAGCACATCGCGTATGTACGGCATAATCTGGCTAATCTCTTAATGCATTATAAATCAAGAACAATCGGTGTTCGTGCGCTGCTCGGCTGGATTGCTCTTGTTACGTACTCTGTG